TGTGGGCTTCTGGTAAATGATGTAGGAATTGTACAGGGCCAAATGGAAAAGGTAGAAGGATACTTTTTTATACCAGTGGATTGATCTTCTGGTGGGTAAGTAGGGCTGTAACATTTGATCATTTAAAGCCACCCTCCCCATGACCAGGTTGTAATCATGTATGCATTGGGGTTTTCGAATGGGACGTATCTTCCTTGAATTTCCATTGAGTTGTTATGGATAGAGGAAAGGATATACACATCTTGTTTGTCTCGCCACTTAAGGGCCAACATCTCTTCATTTCTCAAGATGATTGACGCCCCCCTCTGTAGCGTGGTGGCAACCAATTGTTGTGGGAAGCCCTTCCGATTGGGTCAAACTGTGTCACAGGCAACAATGTTCTTGAGGTAAAGGTGGCAGAAATGGGACAGGCTTGTATAGAAATTGTCCACATAAAGGTGGTACCCCTGATTGAAGAGGGGGTATATCAGGTCCCAGACAACTTTTCGACTACTCCCCATATAGGCTGGTCTTTCAGGGGCTCTAGCTGACTGTCCTTACCTTCGTAGATACAGAACTTATGCATATACCCTGTGGCCCTTTTGCAGAGTTTGTTCATCTTCACCCCATATCTGGCCCGTTTGCTTGCCAGTGTATTGTTTTATGACCAGCTTCCCAGTGAAGTGGATTAGGGATTCATCAACACAGATGTTTTTGCCCGGTCAATTTATTTCAGAAAATTTTTGGTTGAAATAATTGATCAGTGGCCGAATTTTATAAAGTTTGTCATACTCGGGGTGATCTCTGGGGGGGGTACAGGGAATTATCGTTGAAATGTAGAAAGCGCATAATTATTTATAGCGGGTCCTGGACATAGTGGCGGAATAGAGCGGCATGTGATGAATGGGATTTGTCAACCAATAAGCCTGTAGTTCATTTTTATTTGTTAGTCCCATATTAAATGTGAGGCCAAGATACACAGGGTTTAAAAGTGCATCTGGACAACAGTACGGGCCCTAATCCTTGGTGGCTGACACGACACCTGAGTAATGGTACTTGCACTTACACTGCTGGTACTAGCCATGTCACAGAGAGGTATTGAGCTTCTGGTGGTTGCTTGTTGCTCCTTGGAGTGCCTCATTCTTTTTGTTGGAGCATGTTCTTCTTCTGAATCAGTGACTGAATACAGAATCTGAGTCTGACAGTGAGAGTTCTCCGTTACTCTCATCTGTCATACTCAGAATTTGAAACACCTCCTTGCTTGTGTAGAATTTTTTGGAAATATTTTTGACACTGGTGTGTAAGTGATCAGGACCCACTGGTATGGTGGTGATCAGGACCCACTGGTATGGCGGTGATCAGGACCCACTGGTATGGCAATGATCAGGAAGATGATGTGGCAGTAATCAGACACTGGTGCTGGTGTACAGCAGTTTGACGTCACTGCAATGAGGGACAGATGGATGGCTGCAGTTGGTTCACACTAGTCACTGTTGGGAAAAGATCAGAGATACTGTGAGCTGGCTGGCAATGTTTTGTGAGTGTGTGTAAACTGTGTGTAAAGGCTGAAAATTACTCAGTTAGCTGTAATGGTTCTCTCTCCTTACAGACGATGGCGGTGATCAGGACCCACTGGTATGGTAGTGATCAGGATGATGGTGCTGGCGGTCTGACGTCACTGCAGTGAGGGACAGATGGCTGACTGCAGTTAGTTCCCACAAGACACTGATGGGCAGAGATCAGAGACACCATGAGTTGGTTGGTAATGTTTTGTGTGGGTAAACTGCGTGCAGAGGCTGAAAATATTCTTAATAATAAAAAACTTTTCTTAAAAAAGTCCAAAATCTCAAAACACACCCCACTTTTATAAACAAATATTCAATAAACAAATGTTCAATAAAGTCTCTTTTATTCTTCTTTTCCACGAAAAAAAAATCCTTTTTCTCAACACCCGTACATTCTGATGCCCATATACCTCAAAAAGAAAAAACTTAACATAGTGTCATACCTTTTTAGAAATCAAAACACACGTGCCCTTAACAGTGCACCACGCACTACTTGTGAAAACACTCAAGCAAACGAGGGAAAAATATATATATATATATATATATATATATATATATATATTTTTTTTTTTTTTTTTTTTTTTTTTTTTTTCCCTCGTTTGCTTGAGTGTTTTCACAAGTAGTGCATGGTGCACTGTTAAGGGCACGTGTGTTTTGATTTCTAAAAAGGTATGACACTATGTTAAGTTTTTTCTTTTTGAGGTATATGGGCATCAGAATGTACGGGTGTTGAGAAAAAGGATTTTTTCGTGGAAAAGAAGAATAAAAGAGACTTTATTGAACATTTGTTTATTGAATATTTGTTTATAAAAGTGGGGTGTGTTTTGAGATTTTGGACTTTTTTAAGAAAAGTTTTTTATTATTATCTTTAACCTTCAAGGGTGGAGGTAGACTACTTTTCTGGGTTTTTATTTGGTGTGCTTTGTTTTTGAGAAATATATATCTGAAAATATTCTTAGTTTGCTGAAATCGCTCTCTCTCCTCAGAGACAATGGTGATCAGGACCCACTGGGATGACAGTGATCAGGACCCGCTTGTATGGCGATCAAGACACACTGGTGTGGTGTTGATGAGGACGTGGTGTGGCGGTGATCAGGACACACTGGTGTGGTGATTAGGACACACTGGTATAGTGGTAATTAGGACATAAAGTGGCAGTGATCAGGACCCACTGGTGTGGCAATAATCAGGATCCATGATGTGGCAGTGATCAAGACCCACTGGTGTGGTGGTGATCAGGACTCACTGGTGTGGCAGTGATCAGAACCTTTTGTATGGCGGTGATCAGGACCTGCTGGTGTGGGGATTAGGACTCACTGTTTTGGTGGTGATCAGGATCCACTGGTGTGGTTATCAGGACCTGCTGCTATGGCTGTGATCAGGACTGCTAGTATGGCTGCGATCGGGACCCGCTGGTGAGTCAGTGATCTAGGACCCACTGGTATGGCTGTGATTGGGATCTGCTGGTGTGGTGATCAAGACTCGGTGGTATGGCAATCAGGACCTGATGGAGTGGCAGTGATCAAGACCCAGTGGTATGGCAATCAGCACCTGCTGGTGTGGTGGTGATAAAGACCCAGTGGTATGGTGGTAATCAGGAATTGGAAAGGAATGAGGTGGCAAACCTAGACACAATATGGTGATCAGGGACACAGTATGGTGATCACAGACACTGTATAGCGATCAGGGATACGTAGGTACAGGGAAGTGTGGCTACAACCTCTAGTGATGCTAATAGCTCCTTCTCCTCTCACAGACAGAATCGTGTGAGGAGAAGGAGCTGGAAGCTGCATCATGCGGCTTCTAATTACATTTAGACTGTGTCCTTATTGGACACAGTTGATCACGTGATATAGGACCGATTTCATTGGTCCTGTACCATGTCACATAATCCACTGTGTCTGTGGGACACAGCGATCACTGGGCTCACGGGTGGTGCTCTAGGAGCTGCGCACAAGCCTCAGTGGCCGTTTAGAAACGTTTCCCATCCAGCTGTTTATGTACATGGGCTGGATTGGAAGAGGTTAAGAAGTGGAAAATTGATACCTAGCCAAGGTCAGGTAAACCAAGAAAGAAAGCAGCCACAACTGCCTGAAGAATTAAAACCCATGGGTAACCTCAGAAGAAATACAGGCTGCTCTGGAAAAAGAGAGTGTGGTTGTTTCAAGGCACACAATTCGATGATACTTAAACAAAAATGAGCTGCATGGTCAAGGTGCCATAAGAAGCCTTTACTGCGCCAATGTCACAAAAAAGCCCAGTGATGCATATCAAGGTGTTGTCAGGCATATTGTAACCGAGCTTTTTTGTGGCATTGGCACAGTAATAGCTTCTTTCTGGCAACTCGACCATGCAGCTCATTTTTGTTCAAGTAGTGTCGTATTGTGCTCCTTCAAAACAACCACACTGTTTTTTTCTAGAGGTTACCTGTGGGTTTTTCTTTGTATCCCAAACAATTCTTCTAGCAGTTGTGGCTGCAATTTTTCTTTGTCTACCTGATCTTGGCCTGATATCAAGAGATCCACAAATTTTCCACTTCTTAATAAGTGATTGAACAGTACTAATTGGCATATTCAAGGCTTTGGATATCTTTATATTGTCTTTTCCATCTTTATAAAGTTGAATTACCTTGTTATGCAGGTCTTTTGACAGTTCCTTTCTGACCCCCATGGCTCAGTATCTAGCAAGGTCTGTGCATCCATGTGAGAGCTAACAAACTCAATGACTATTTATACAGAGACACTAATTGCAATGTAAAAAGCCTTATGTTGGAAATGAACCTTTAATTGCCATTTTAACCTCTGTGTCACCTTGTGTGTCTGTACCAAGGCCAAACCTTCCAGGGTATGTAAACTTTTGATTATGGCCAGTTGGGTGATTTGTGTTATCGTTATGACTTAACCACTTCTGGTCCAGACACTTTTACCCCCTTCCCGTCCAGGCCAATTTTCAGCTTTCAGTTCTATCACGCTTTGAAAGACAATTGCGCGGTCATGCAACACTGTACCCATATGAATTTTTAGCATTTTTTGGAGACAGATAAAACTTTATTTTGGTGGTATTTATTTACCACTGGGATGTTTATTTTTTTTTTGCTATATAAATGAAAAAGTCCAAAAATTTTGAAAAAAGTGTTTTTCTTATAACATTTTGCAAATAAATAATCTTTCTTCATAAATATTGGCCAAAATTTATTCAGTTATCTTTTTAGTAAAACAAAATAACCCAAATTAGTTTATAACCAAAAATTATAATTTTTAAAAATAATTTTATTTTATTTTTTTATATTATTATTTATGTTTTTTTTTAAAACATACTGTCACCCTAGCAGTACAGTGTCACCATAGTGACACTGTACTACTTGTGTGGGGGGTGATGAAGATTTTTTTTCTTTTTTTACACTGATTGCTTTTATACCCATAAAGGCTGTAAAAGCAATAATTTCTCCTTCTCTTTGGCTGTAGTCTTGCAGCCATTGAGAAATACTGTGTGAGCTGTGATTGGTCACAGCTTGTCACATGGTACAGGTTGTTGTGAATAGCCTTGTACCATGTGACCTCTGTGATCATTCACAGATTTCACATGTAGTAAGCAATGATGTCAGAAGTGGCATCTTGCTTACTACTCTTCATGTGATCACTGATTGGCCAATCATTGATTACATGATCGGGACCTCACACAGAGGTCCCGTACAACGATCGGTGTTGCGTGCTCCCAGGGAGCACGCACAAGCAGGGTGCAGGGAGGCCATTTATAAACGGCCACTCGCCCCTGCACTGCTCCCATCCGGCTGTTTATATATATGGGCCGGACGGGAAGTGGTTAAAAAGGAGCAAACTATGTGATAATAAATGGCTTCATATGATCACTATCCTTAAATAAGAAACTCAGCTGTGTACACCCCCGCTCTCATAGGGCAGGGAAGGTTCTTTGCAAAGCTGCCAGGAGAGGAGCATTGTCACTCGTAAACACAGAATTTGGGCTTCTGTATTTACAAGTGACAGTAGTGAGTGGCAAGCATAGGGTTGGCACTGCACTGTAGGTGACAGAATTTAATTCCACTACATTCTGGCAGAAAAAAAAGTCCTACATACACTATCCAAAACTAGAAAAAGGTTTTGGCCACACATAAACTATAAGGTGCACTGTGTGCACACATTTCAAAAAGAATTACCAGAGATGCAGTGTGCCTAGAGATGAGCTTGGGTGTCCTTGTACTCATCTCTAACCCAGACTCTGAACTCCCACTTTTTTTATTCCAGCGTGGTGCATGCTAGATTATTCTCCACCCTGCACTTTAGGGAAACCTGAAAGAGATGACCTTGGACGGCCAAGCTCATCTCTGCTTGTGATCAGGGATGAGCTCAGACGTGTTTGGTTCCTAGACCAATCCCACCTGAACTATCCTGCCAGGAAGCTGTCGTTGCACATTGCCAAACATAAGTGGCCAAGTCTTTCCCTGCCCTGCATGCCCCTTGATATATGTATGGGTGCAGGGCAAGGAATGTCTTGGCGGTTTAGTTCAGGTGGGTTCAGACTAGGGTTTGAGCATGTTTAGGCTCATTCCTTCCGTCCCCTACACTCCACCGAAACTGCCTTACTCAAACTCTCCAACGACCTGCTAACCGCCAAAGCTAATGGCCACTATTCAGTGCTCCTACTCCTTGACCTCTCTGCGGCCTTTGACACAGTCGACCACCCCCCTCCTCCTCAAAAAACTACACTCCCTCGGCCTCAGAGATTCTGCTCTCTCCTGGCTCTCATCCTAGCTGTCACAACGCTCTTTTCAGCGTTACCTATAATGCCACCACCTCCCTCTCACTCCCCCTCTCTGTTGGGGTCCCTCAAGGCTCTGTCCTCGGGCCCCTTCTCTTCTCCATCTACACCTCCTCCCTTGGCCAACTCATACACTCTCACGGCTTCAACTACCACCTCTATGCCGACGACACACAAATCTATCTCTCAACCCCCCACCTCACCCCCTCGGTCTCCGCCCGAATCACACACCACCTGTTGAGCGACATATCAGACTGGATGTCGCTCCACTTCCTTAAACTGAACCTCTCCAAAACCGAGTTTCTTGTCTTCCCTCCAGCCCGGACACCACCCCCCATTGACTTCTCCATCATGTCCAACAACGCCACCATCAAACCCGCCCCGCAGGCCAGAGTACTTGGTGTCATTTTGGACTCCAACCTATCCTTCCAGCCCCAAGTACACTCTTTAACAAACTCGTGCAGACTCCACCTCCGCAACATCGCCAAAATCCGCACGTTCCTAACTCCAGAAACCACTAAACAGCTCATCCACTCCCTCATCATATCACGACTCGACTACTGCAACTCCCTCCTCACTGGCCTGCCTCGCCGCTGGCTATCCCCGCTTCAGTCCATCCTGAATACGGCTGCCAGACTCATTCACCTTTCCAACCGCTCCGTTTCCTCCACCCCCCTCTTCCAATCCCTCCACTGGCTTCCGATTGCGCAATGGATCAAATTCAAAATCCTAACGCTGACGTACAAAGCTGTCCACCATACTGCCCCGAACTACATCACTGACCTAATATCCAAGTACTGCCCAGCACGCTCACTCCGCTCCTCACAAGACCTCCTTCTCTCTAGTTCCCTGGTTTCATCCTCCCATGCCCGCCTCCAGGACTTCTCCAGGGTGTCACCCATCCTCTGGAACTCCCTGCCCCAACCCATCAGATTATCACCTACTCTCCTCTCCTTTAGGCGCACCCTGAAAACCCATCTCTTCAGGGAAGTCTACCCCGCCCCCTGCTAACTTGCCGACCTCCTCCACTCTTCCTACCACTCCATCCCCCACAGCTATCTCCTCCTGTGCCACCATCCCCTCCCTCCTAGATTGTAAGCTTGAAAGAGCAGGGCCCTCGATCCCCTCATGTTTTGCATTGTATTGGTATTGTTCTGTCACATGTTCTGTCCCCCTTTGTAATGTACAGCGCTGAGCGAACTATTGGCGCTTTATAAATACTGTATAATATAATAATAATTCCTACTTGTGATAAATTGCAGTGTGGGTAGGGTAGCCTACTACTGTAGTCGTGTTTTGGGGTGCCATTAAAAAGGAATGGCACAATGAATTGTACATTACTGTGTTGGATTAATACATGGTATAACGTATGTTTTACTGTGCATTACCATAACGCATAATATGAATGGGACTGGCATTGACTGGTGTTTACCTTCACCTGTGTGCATGGCAAGGTCGGAAACTTTTCAAACTCACTTCTAGGTATGAAAAGTTGGCTTAGGGTCCTTTCACACGGCATAACGTTTTTTTCATCAGTTCAGTCCCATTTTTTCAGAGAAAACACGGATCAGTTTAGATCAATTTTTTCATCAGTTTCTCGTCATTTTCTTGTCAGTTTTTACATCAGTTTTTTACATCCTTTGCCAATGCAAAAATGGGCCGGATGTCCATTTACATCCGTTTTTCGTCGTCCGTTCCGATTTTGTTTACGGAAAAAAATAGGGTTTTCTTCTGTTGAAAAAAACGGATGTTAATGGATGCGGACATTAACGGATGTAAACCATCCATTTACATCCACTAGTCCAAAGAAATCCATGGGTGTCCATTCTTCATCCATAAACAGACATACGGAACGCCCGTGTGAAAAGACCCTGATGGTAATTTAACTTGAAAAAAAAATTATAAAGGGTTTTTCTTTTTGGATGAAATGAATTCAGCTGACATTCTTATTACTGTGTTCTCAATGTTTAGAACATCTTGAATCAGTCTAATCTGTGTCTAAATATTGATGGATGTTTATTACTGTGCTCTAGCCAGCCATGGCTGATCTTTTGTGTGGATTCTGTGAGTTCTCTTATTAGCTCAGCTGTGATGTAGAGAGACTGACACAGTAATTGAATTAGCTGCTGGGAGTTGGAAGCCAGGAACAGAGACCGGAGCTGCACTGAAACAGAAGCTAAATGCGGAAGTAACTTTTTTTAATATCTTTTTATTGTATGACCTTTCCTTTGATGATGAAAGTTTAATGAGCTACATTTCCATTATTTTTATAATTTATGAAAATAACACACAATACATTGCAGCACAGCACTTTATAAGGCATCCTGCGTGTTGCTCTGTATTGTGAAAAAACACACAGAACCTATTATTTCATGCGTTGGGGTGCATTGCAATCCATTCATTTTTAATAGGCTGCCAACATACTGTAAAACATTGCCTTGTGGTGTAGATTTTAGCAAAAATGGAAATTGAAGCACCCCACCACAGCTAAAAGGCTCAGATATAGGGTTGCCAGGGGCGGACTGACCACTTGGAAACTCGTGCACTGCCCGAGGGCCCGGGGTTAGTAGGGGGCCCCATGAGATGCCCCTGGTACCTTTTTCATAGGTGTTTTTGAGTTTGGGCAAGGACACAGGGGCCCCATGATCCCCTATTGCCCAGGGGGCCCCATGAGTTGTCAGTCCGCCCCTGAGGGTTGCCATCTCATCCCTTTAAAACCAAACACATGTTAATTACACAGGTTCTGAGATGAATTTAATGTAGATAAGGCACTAAGGGAGTTTAATTACCACTCTAGTCAGCCACAGAACCTGGGTAATTAATAGGTGTTCAGTTTTAAAGGGATGAGGTGGCAACCCTACTCAGATATGAATTTATTCCCATAAAAGTCAAGGGGACAATCCATGTCCAAAAATATACCTTAATACCAAAAATATAACCTTTACAAGTCCAATGCTATTTTTCTACTTTCCTAAACTTGTGGTGGGAATTGGTCTTTCATGTATTTATGGTAAGATTGGATTCATTTGTATAATGCTATTTTTGGACTCAAGAGGGCTTCAGAACTCTGAGGCAATATTTTACCCCTGGTTCAATATCCGCATTCCTGCAATCCACGTTTTGCACAGACACGAGAGCCCATTCATGTGAATGGACTCCTGTGCCCCGGGACACGCAGGGAAGAAATCCCTGCACTTCTGAAAAAGTAGCCCACACTGGAACTGAGGTTCCCAGTACATTTGCGATTTCCAGTGTGGGCGGCATGCCATTAGAATTAATGGGTGGGTTCCTTATTCATCTGTGTGGGTGGTATGGCTGCACAGATTTTTGTGCGGATCCACACCGGCACCATCCGCACATATGTGAACCTAGCCTTAAAGTGATACTAAAGATAAAAAAAAAAAGAAAAAAACGAACAAACATGTTATCTGTACATGTTCTGTGCAATGGTTTTGCACAGAGAAGCCCCAGTCCTCGTTTCTAGCTCCACCCCCCTGCATGCTCATTCCCATGCCCCACTCTGTGCATCCATTGACACACAGAGTGCGGCTCTGCTCTGCCCCCCACTCTCTCTGCACTGGCTGATAATGACAGCAGTGAGAGCCAATGGCAGGTGAGAGCTAAGAGAGCAGTTGCTCTTGTGCAAACTGCTGGATTAAGATTGAGCTCGTGGACACCTAGAATGCATGAAGGGCAAAAACCTGCAACCTTTAGATCAACTTTAACATTAAGGCATTGCATTAAGACAGCCAAGTAAAATAAATCAGTGAGCGTCCGATGACCAAAATCACCCCAATTATTGGACATGTCACAACATTTTTGCCACTATTCAGACCAACATCCTACAGTGAGTTCCCATGTGTCTCAGGGCACTGTAGTGCATATGCATTGCCTTAGTGCTTTGCCTGTCAAACTGAATGTAAAAACAAAAGCATAGATGTAAATTGTCCCATCAAGTATTGTCAAGATCTCATAAATACTACTGTATGCTCATGTTGTAAGCAGCTTTTTGTGCAGCAAAATCAGTGTTCTCAATAACTGTAAATCCTACTAGCACGGAATTTGAATAAAGCATGT